AATATCCTGTTATCCTTGTAGTTATTCTTGTTGCTATCAGTATGGACGACAGAAGCAAGAACAATAATAATGGCAGCATTTATGATAATAATGATAATAGTAAAAGTAATATAAAAAGCATAATGATAATAATAATCATAATGATAATGGTAATAATAATGTTGATGATGATAACAATAATAATAGTGATGATGATAATAATAATAATAATAATAATAATAATAATAATAATAATGATAATAATAATAATAATGACAATGAAACAAGTAGAATTACAACACCACCAATGATGATGATGATAATAATAATAATATAATAATAATATAATAATATAATAATATAATAATAATAACAATAATAATAATAATAATAATAATAATAATAACGACGAGAATCACTCAGAGAGCGCACACCTCCGACAAGACTATAAGGTCGCTGATGCAATAAAAACTTTCACGCTTAAAGAATTACATTAAAATCACCTTTCTCAAGTGCACTGGTGACGTCCGTAAACCTAACCTTGGAGGAGGCAGTCATTAAACAAAATCCTGGATCCGGATCAAACCAAAAAATTAATGGAATTCAAGTTGGGTTAAGACACACCTCTGGTAAAATTTCCAGAAAAATCTAGCTATAACTTGCTGAGTTATTTTGCTAACCATCGCGACCGTAAACATAACGTCCTTGACAGAGGTAATAATGATAATAACAAGAACAACAACAATAATGATAATAAAAAAATGATAATAATAATAATAGTAATAATGGTAATACTACTATTACTACTATTACTACTACTACTACTACTAATAATAATAATGATTATCATATTATCATTATGATAATCATTATTATTATAGCTATAATAAAAACAGTTATAATAATAATACAAATATAACAACAACAACAACAAAATCAACAAAAATAACAATAACAATAATAACAAATAATAACAAAAAGAACAATAAATATAATAATAATAACATAGATGTTAATACCAATACTAATAATGATAATGATAACAATAACAAAGCAACAACAATAATAATAACTATAATAGATTAATATTAAAATTAACAATGATGATAATGATGGTGATGATTATCATTACTATCATCATTATTATCCTCATAATTTCTATTATCCTTATCACTGATATTACAATTAATATCCCTATCATACATATTGACATTATCAAAATGTATCATATTGATAGTGTTAAATGTTATTATCCTTACTACTTGTGTTGTTAGAACTATGATAAGACAGATAATCTCTATAATGATAATTTTTCTCACTACTGCTATCATCAATATTCTTATCATTCTTATCATCACAATGTTAGTTGTTGTATCAGTTACCTTAATTATTATTGCTATCATTATTATCCTTATTACCATTACCATCATTATCATCATTATTGTTCTCACTAATATATCAATAACGCTGTTATCATTATTTTCATCATAATCAGCATCATCAGTATTTCAATAATTCAATATCAATATTATCATTGATTTTGCTGTTATTACTGTTCGTTTCATTGTCAAAATTGAGATCACTATTATGTATAGTGTGATAAACAGTGACAGTGATCGCAGGTGTCTAGAGAGAAGTAGAGAAGCTTCTAGAAAAGAGCCGGTGAATCACACCCCACCTATCTTCTCTCTCTCATTTCCTTTTCTCTTCTTCTTCTTCTCTTCTTCTATTCTTCCGTCCTCTTCCTCTACCCTCTCTCCCTTATCTACTTCGTTCCGATACTTACTTTCCTCCCTCTGTTCCTGCTTCTTCTATCATCTACGTTCCCCCTTCCTTTATTCTTTCCCTTCCTTTGCCTCATTCTCTTCTTTCTGGTCCTTCCCTCCTTCTACCTCTCACCCACCCTTCATTCCTTATCTTTACTCTCTTGATCTTTTTTCCCTTTTTCTCTCCCACTTCCGTCTCTTTACCCCTTAATCTCATCGAATTTCCCTATCCCCTCCTGCCTTTCTTCTATCCTTCTTCTTCTCTTTCTTTACCCCTTCTTTCTATCCCTTTCCTTCCTCCCCTCTATTCCTTCTTCCATCTTTCCTCGGTCCTCCCTCTTCCCTCCTTCTTTCCTTCTACCCCCTCCCTTGCCTTACGCTTTCCCCCTCTTTCCCTCCCTTCTCTACCTCCTCTCCTCCTGCCCCCTGCCCTCCTTCTTCCTCCCCCCCCTTTTCTACCCTTTCGTGACCTTCTTCTACCCTTTCCCTTCCTTCCCCCCCCTTCTACCTTTCCCCCTCCTTCCCCCCTTCTACCCTTCCCCTTCTTTTTCCCTCCACCCTTCCCTCTCTACCACCTCTCCTTCCTTCCCCCTCTCTATCCCTCTCCTATCATTTCTTTTTCCTTCCTCCCTTTACACCCCTCCCTTGCACTCTTTCTCCCCCTTTACCTTCCCCCTCTCCTCCTCCTTTCCCCCCTTCCTTCCCCTCTCTACCCCCCCTCCTTCTACATTTTCCCCTTCCTTTCCTCCATTTAC